TACATATATGTAATTTTGATGCTTAGTAGTTTTACATATTTATGGGATGCACTGAGGCATTTTGATATGTGTATACAATGTGTAATGATCAGACTGGAGTACTGGACATATGCATTGCCTCAGACATTTAGCATTTCTTTGTTTTTTTTTGGCAGCCTCAGGATGCCTTCAGGGCAGGTCTGGTTTGGCATTTAGCATTTCTTTATGTTGGATATACTCAAAGTTCTCTTTACTAGTATTTTGAAATATATAATCAACTGTTGTCAACAATACTTATCCTATTGCACTATAGACTATATGTTAGAAGTTATTCCTCCGATCCAGCCCAAATACTTATCTTAAGAACCAGGAAAGAACAGGAGTGAGAGGGAGCTCAGGGCAAAGAAGCTATAATTTCTAGCACGTCAACAGCCCTCAGCTCTCAGAGAAGTGCGCTAAGAGAACAGCAGCCTGCGGTACAGCTGTGAGCCTCCAGCCTGTACCTCGCTTCAGGCCACCCGTGGCCTGGGGCTGCCCACTAGGAGAAAGGGGAACGCCGGGAAGGGTGTACAAGGCACTGGAAGCCCCGCCCCACCTCTAGCCTCAGGGGCAACTCCTTGTTGGGGTCCTTAGGAACTCAGGGCCGAGAGGAGGGGCCCCTGCCTGCCTGAATGGTTTCTCTCCTGACCTGGGCCTTGAGGGATGGAGAGGATGTACATGGGTGCCGAGCCCCAGGGAGGACTTCGGACAGAGACAGCGCATGCAAATATATGGAGGAGGGAAAATGTTGGACATAGACTGAACAGGAGCATTTAATGACTCCGTATCACCTGAGCATTAGGGAACAGCTTATGGGGAAAGCGAGACAAAGCCCTTCAAGGAAGTTCCCTGAAAGGGAGGGGCAGGCAGGAAGTATGTCCTGCAGCCAGTAGGAGCCATGGGAGGGGTTTGATTTTGGAAGTGGCCCTGCCCAGTGGAGTGGGAAACTTGCTGGTGGGCAGCTTTGTGCCTTCCAGGCTCACGCGGTACGTTTTCCTAAGGGACCAAGTCAGGATCATACCGTAACTTGGGAGCCTTGGCCCCATGGTGATAAAATCAGGCTTTCTTTCTTTCTTTCTTT